ATCTTCTGTCATTGTCATTCAAGGCATATACTCTAAAAGACAGGTTGATACCATGGCTGGTACAACTAAATCTCCCTAGGTGTATTCATCTCCACCCACTCTCTTATGGAATTTTTTGTGAGCTCAGGAATTGAGCTCAGTTGTTTTGTATTATGTATGCATGTGGAAGTTGTATACTTACAAGATAGTTTATTTCATATTCCAGCTTTCTGGTACTTATATTCAACAATTCAAATTCAATTAGACAAATATTTAAGTACTTCCTACCATTTGTGGTAGACCATACAAAGCATAAGAGAAGTTAAAATTTTGGATTAAAAACAAATTCCTGCCACAATGCATGATAAATGTAGAACAGAGATGCAAATAAACTTCTATGAAATTTATTTCCTTCTCTCAAAGGGACAAAAAGCTAACTGAGGGTGGGGATAGGGAGGGATCAGGGAAAGTTTTAGAGAAGGTGTGTCAAATGGAATAAGACTTCAAGAATGGAGAAAGAAAGGAGGAAAACAAAAAATTCTAAGCATTTGTTTGTTCTGTCATTTTTAGTCATGTCCAACCCTTCATGAACCCATTTGGCATTTTTTTGGCAAAGAGACTAGAGTGGTTTGCCATTTCCTTCTCCAGCTCACTTTATAAATGAGGAAACTGAGGTAAACAGGGTTAATTGACTTGCCCAGGGGAACACAGCTACTAAGTGCCTACAGTCATATTTGAACTCAAGAAGATGAGTCTTCTGACTCCAGGCCTGACACTCTATCCACTGTACCACCTAGCTGCCCATTCTAAGCATAGGGGCATTCCGAACATTAACTCAGATTTAGTCTCTTTATTGCGGGAATAGGGGAAGAGGAGGAGAAGATATCAACATCACAATTGTTTGATGCACTTGGGCATCAGTAACAATAGCTCAGCTGGTCACTTCATAGTGTTATAGTTCCAACTTTGCTTGGGACAGTTAAGTTTCACATTTGTGGAGAAGTATTATTCTAACGATATAGCTAATGATTTGGTTATAAGAATAGCTGGGTAAGAAAGAATAGATGAATGAGTACAAATTCAGTAGGGGGGTGGAGGGGAAATCTTCTCAAAGCAAATGCACTTTATTTGCAGAGTCAGGTAAGTTATCTTGTAGAATTAAGTATTTTTTAGGTCCCTTACAGCTCTAAAGCCAATGACTCTATGAGCCAAATATTGCTTTATCTATTAAAAATTCATCTGAAGTACTACAAAAATACAGCAGGTGGCAGTGAAGAACACCAAACCAGATAACAACGCCCAAAGGCCAGGTCTATGCAATATTTAATCATAGACTCTCAGAACTTGAGGGGATTTTACTTTTTTTTCTTTTTTTTTTAAATTTTTTTATTAATTTATTTTGATTTATCAACAATCACTTCCATAAGCTTTTGAGTTTTAAATTTTTCTCCCCCTCCCTCCTATCCTTCCTCCCCAAGATGGCACACAATCTCATACAGGCTCTACATATACATTCCTATTAAACATATTTGATTGGACTTTATAGATCATTCTAGTCCAACTCTTTCATTTCATAAATGAGAAAACTGCATCTGAGAGAGATAATGTAAGTTTGGCCAAGATCATGTGGCTAACTTAAATGGTTTCTAGGTAAATCAATTTCCTCTAACCATTCAAAAATTCAGATTTAAAAAAAAAAATTACTCACTACTATTATTCAAATGAATCCTTAACAATCAGATACACGTAATGTGAAGTTACAGGATGGACTCATGTGCAAAAATAGAAATAACCAACATTTATAAAGGACAGCCATGTGACATGGTGGATAGAGCAGGGCCTAGAGTCAGAAAGTCTCATCTCCCTGAGTTTGAATCTAGCCTCAGACACTTACTAGCTGTGTGACCTTGAGCAAGCCACTTAACTCTGTTTGCCTCAGTTTCCTTATCTATAAAATGAACTGGAGAAGGAAATGGCAAAACCTCTCCAATATTTTTGCCAAGAAACCCCAAATGGGATCATGAAGAGTAGGACACAACTGAATAATAACAACAACACAACATTTATTAAGCACCTACTATGCGTAACATTCATGAAAATGACCATTGACTCTCAGAGGGTATACCAACTCACACTAAGGCAGGTTCCAGCATGATAGGAAAGCTTGGAGTCTAGTGCTGACAAAAGACTGTCTGTTTAACCTAAGTTCAGAGAGGCTTATCACCAGTGCATCGGCTGTTTGGTGATGAATTATTTGTGCATGGCAACATGTGTACTTCTTAAATCCTCCTCCTTTCTAAACTTCCCTAGACTATATGTCAAAATTATGTGATTGTTTGAAATACATAACCAACAGAAAGAACATTGTTCCGTGACCCCCAAATTATTGGATTCAAATATGGTATAATTCTGAGACATATATCCTCATCCGAGCCTCATAAGGTCATGGGTCATAGACCAAGACTTCAGGATTTATGTAATCCACCCTCCTCATTTTACAGAAGAGGAAACTGAAGACCAGAAAAGTTCTTTGCCCAAGGTCACATCAGTAGTAAACATCAGAGGAGAGGATTTGTTGTTCACTACTGCCATGGAAGAAATACAATGCAGAGCCTAACTTAAAGATGGATCCTCATAGATGATGAAGTCTTCCAGATGCTCCTGCTTTTAGATGACATTGTGTTTATTGGGCTAAGCTCTAGACCACTGGAAAACCTCCTAAGTGAGATTCATCATCCCTGAAAAGAGTTCAATTTAAGTATACACAAAGGAAAAAATAAGTGGATAAAAATTCCTATTGTTTAAACTATAATATGTAGTTAAATTGGGCAATATATTTTATCTATCAGTTTCTGTATCTTTTTTTTTTTTTTTTGGTGAGGCAATTGGGGTTAAGTGACTTGCCCGGAGTCACACAGCTAGTAAGTGTTATATGTCTGAGGCCGGATTTGAACTTAGGTCCTCCTGACTCTAGGGCTGGTGCTCCATCCACTGCACCACCTAGCTGCCCCTCAGTTTCTACATCTTGAAAAGACACTTCAATTGGACAATGAGTAGGGTCCAGTATTGAATGTCAGATGGAGAGTGGGATAGATTGCCTTTGGGGAACTGAAAAGTTCCTTTAACGTTTCCCATGCTTCTTAAAAAATAAATCCATCAATATTAGTATTTTTTTGATGTTATTATATGGCTACGAATCATGAAAGACAGGTAGATAGTAGAGTGGATAGAATGCCATGCCTGGAGCCAGAAATACCCGAGTTCAAATCTGGGCTCAGACAATTACTAGCTGTGTGACCCTGAGCAAGTCCCTTAAACTTCAGTTTTATCATCTGTGAAATAAGCTGGATAAGGAAATGGCAAACCACTCCAGTATCTTTGCCAAGAAAACCCCAAATGGGATCACAAAGAGTCAGACGCAACTGAAAAATGACTGAACAACAACCATGGGTCATGAAACATTAGTCTCTAAAGAACTGGAATTAAGGATCGCTCAAATAAGAACATAGTGGATTTGAATTGGTTGCAACTCATTAAGAATAAGGAATTTCAAAGGAGAGCAGTTAATTGTTCGTGTGTTGAGAACTAGGTGTACTGATGAACCACAGTTCTACTGGTGTTCTCATAAGGTCAAAAGAACTTGAGGAAGGTCCCCAGGACTTTGAGTGTACTCCCATAGTGAAATTGTGAGAGGACATGGGAAAGAACTATACTAGATGGGTTGAGATTTGTGTCACTGGAGCAAACGTGCACATTAATAAGATCCCAGCTCCATTTGAGTAGCCAAGTATTGAATATGTAATAAAGCACAGTGCTGAGGACTGGGAGGAAGGTAAAGCTTAGTTAAAATACAGCCCCTACCTTCAAAGCACTTCTGTTCTAGTAAGGCATTTGTAACTAACAGACTACTATAAACCTGATCTCAAAAGTTTCATGGCTTTTCGGGGGGGTAGATAAGTGCTGGGGGAAAAAAGTATAGTTTATTTTCTTAAGTGCTTTTGTTTATACAGTAGATACTCAGTGAGGTCATGTCCAAAAAAGATGCTAATAATCCAGAAATTTTAATGTTTATAGTCTCTTTGAAAACTGAAACACCATATATTCACTTTGGTACACATGCATAGACTAGGTGGCACAGTGGACAGTGCCAGGCTTGAAGTCAAGAAGATCCTAGTTCCAATCTTTTCTCAGACATTTACTAGCTGTATGACCCTGGGCTAGTGATTTATGTTCTTTGTGTCTCATTTTCCTCATCTGAAAAATGAGGATTTTAATAGCACCTACTTCTCTGGATTATTTGGAGGGTAAAATGAAATATTTGTAAAGTGCTTCGCAAACCTTAAGCACTGTATAAATGCTAATTATTATTATTATACACGCACACACCGCACCCACTCTCCCAATACATACCTCTATCCCCAGTCCCAAATCCTATCTTTATCTTTAGTGTTGGCAATCTGGGGCTGACTTTATAATGAGAAGAGACTTAAAAACCTACAACACTAAGAGATAATAAAGACATATCAAGTGCAATTGTCATTATAGTCTGGGAGTAGGGCTAGGCAGGAAGGAAGGTCAGAGACTCCTATACCCAGCTATATCTATGCATAGAGCCCTGCATTTCATTAAGACTGGAGAAGAATGGCTATTTGCAAGGATAACATCAAATAACTGCTTAGAAAAGAGAAGATGCAGGCAGAAAAAAGAACTTTGGCAGAAAACATTTCTATCTTAGACGAAATGAACGAAAGCTTTCCTAAAAAGATTTCTCTCTTTCCTAGCTCTGCAGCTATCTTTGTATCCTTGGTGCTGCATTAGGGTGACTGGGCCAGCAAAATGATGAGTGCATTAGCTGCATCAGTCCAGTGGGATATTTGCTCAGGATTCAGGTTTAGGCTGAAGCAAACAACCACACTCAGCGCTCAGTTGATCGAGGGTGTTCTTGGCAAGGATACTCAATAGGAACAAGAACAACGGCGCTTCACCAGAATTACGTCCATCCCCCAGATCCCCAGACTCACAGTATATCTCTCAGCAGGTATATCTCAGCTTCCTTCTGAAAGGAGCTACCGATTTTCCGTGAAGTGATGGACTTCTCAGTTGTATTGTAGGTATATGTAGTTGGCAGTATCACACACAGGTCAGTCTTGTTGTTTGGAATTCTTGCCGAATTGTAGCACCCAGTCCAGGAACCTGCTGTCCAAGGCAAGGTGGCACAAAGAACTAGATCAGGATTTTATACCGCTTCTAATAACATGAGTTGGCAAAAGTTGAAACTCTGAGCCAATCAACCTTTAGCATTGAAAAGTACAGGAAACCATTAGAGAGTGCTCTGATCATTGGCAAGCATGATATAATTCTCTAATGGAATCACTTAGATGAGAACATTCTCCTACAGTTATGATACAAACAAGCCAGACAAAGAATAAAGTTCTAAATCAATTAGGCTATAGAATTATAGTCTTTCACTATACTGAAGGCAGGGGAGGTGTTCTATTTATCACCATCTGCCTTCAGGAAGGAGTCCTTTCTGGACCAGATATGAAATACAAACAGAAAAGAGGAACAATTCCAGGAAGCAGAAAGGATGGCTGTCCATGACTGGGTGGTAAGCTGAGTCATGGCACAGGGTCAATGTGTCGGTAATATGTTTTATGAGCCCCAGATGTCTGTCATAGTCAAATCCCTGGTGCTTACAATGCCTAACATGGTGCCTTGTACGTGTAGGTGTTTAATAAATGTTTACCGAATTGAAGAAGAACATCTGGTCTTGTAGATAGTTCTTAACTCTTTGATACAGAAGTCTGATCAATCAATATAGATGATGAGCAAAAGACTTTAAAATATAACAGTTACTTTAAAAAAATCTCACTTATATCAATACCCTTTGCTTTTTGCATTCTATTTATTTCTGAATATACTCCCCTTCTTTCCCTACCCATTGAGCCACCCCTTGGAACCAAAACTTGAAAAGCAAGAGAAAGAAAAAACAGTTCAACAAAATTAACTAATGCATCTGCTGTGTCTGACAGCATATACTATATTCTCTACCTCTAGAGTGAAGAATAGTGATGCATTTCTTCGACTTTTCTTTGGAGCCAAATTTAGAAGAGCTATTTTCACAACTTAGCTTTTCTTTACTTCCCTTTACTTTCCTTTGTTTTTCTTTTGTCTTTTAACTTTTCTTCCTTTTATCTTTTTTTATCTTCTTCATTCCTTCCTTCCTTCCTTCCTTTCTTCCTTTCTCAAACACGTTTTCAGGATAATCCAGATGAGGTTATAGAAACCTAATGAGTAACAAGAAAGAAATTGAAGGATGAAGCCTGCAATAAAGAGATTCCATTAAAGGCCTAATCTAGTTAACAATGTGATCAACATTATGCTAAGGGCTGGGATCCAAAAGAAAGGCAAAAAGAAAAATACAATTTCTCAAGAAGCTCACATTCTAATGGAGGAGACAACGTGCAAATAACAATGCACATACAACAAATAAATATATACATGTATGTGAGATAGATATACATCTCCCACTTACACTGGAGTCAGGAAATGGAACGTCATGTATAAGACATAGCAAGAAAGTTAGTTTGTTTAAATGATAGAATGACAGATGGGGAGTAATTTGTAATACAACTGGAAATGTGGAATGGGGCGATGTGGAATTACTGGACGTAATAGGGGAGGAGAGAAAAGAAGAAAGAGACAGAGGCAAAGAGACAGAGAAACAGAGAGAGAGGATGAGAGAGAAGATGAAAGAATGTGAGTGAATGAGAGGGAGAGAAAAGAACTATTACCAATGTCACACAAGGATATTGATCGCAATAGGACAAGGCTGGCCAAATGGGACCAGGATAGCAACTCTATCGAGTAAACAGGAAGGATCCCAAAGTTGTCATAGGCAAGGCAGGCAATAGATCCCATCCAGAGGTGTAGATGAAACAAGGGAGATGATATTAGGATTATTGATTGAGTAGTTACTATGTATCTACAATGCTAGGCACACTGTGGAGGATACAAAGGTGAATAAGAGTTTCTCACTTCAAATAATTTAAAACCTAGGTGGGCTCTGAGATTCTGTGATCTTCTGTGATCACTAATCTGGGATCAGTTCCATTGTGCCCTTAGGAATTCTTCCTATATTATCAACAAATTTCCCTATATTCTTATACTTTTTTTTTTTTAACAAATATTCTTCCCACTTTTTTGCTTTAACTGAAATCTTGCTCAATCCTGAGGACACACTTGCAACCCTCTACGCTGGTCATTGATTCCTTCTCTCACTCTCACTCCCTGATTCACAAGGTCATGAGGACTAGACTCCATTCTCATTTAGGCTTAACTTGGTTAGAATATGTCTTAGCCTAAATGCCAAAAGCCTGAAATGCTTTGAACCAAAATAGCATTACACAGCAATCGTGTTTGAAAATGGCAAGAAAATTTAGCCGGATGCCAAGGACAGTCTATAAATTATCAGGGGAATTGAGAAGGAATTGAACTTGAGATATTAGAGAAAGTGTGAATTTCTAGCATACCCAAGATGATGAAGAAGAGGAGAAGAGAAGAGGAGAAACTTCAGCCTGAGGTTCAGCCAGGTCTCCTCATCTTTTTTCCTACCTCCACCCTGCCCTCGGCCAGAAGACCTTACAAACTTCAAAAGGTCTCCAAGATTTTGGAATTCCCATAGTCCTACTGGTGTCCTAGATAAGATGACATCAATACTTCTTATCAGTAGCCAAGGATAGTGGATGATGCTTTATGATTATGGATGATTAGTAATATGATAATATTATTCAATAATCATCCATTATCATGGATGATTAATTTATGATGCTTAAGAGAAACTTCTTGAGCACCCCAAAAATGGGAGAAAAGGACTTCTAGAAACCAGAAACTGTGAGTTACTCCTTCCCCACATTTGCTTTTTAAGCTAGATATCAGTTCCCCAGGATACTGTAGGTATTTATGAGAGGGTATCACAGATATTTGGGAGATTATTATTGTTGTTCTAGGGTCCAAAATTATCCAATCTGCAATAAAAGAAACTGAGGCAGAGCTCCAAGTCAATAACCATTTATAAAAGGGATGGACTCCCTTCAATGAATGGGACCTCAGATCTTCCTCATGATCTGAGAAGCCCCTTGTTTCCAGGGCTCCAGTTTTAGAGTGCTTGATACCAAGAGACACAGATGAGGCAAAGTAAAATATAGAGTCCATTAGTTGATAGACTTTGATTTTGACTCTCCAGGAGGGCCAGAAATGATGCATTAGCATGAGTAGTCACAGGATGGGTAAGGCAAGGGTCATCTCCACTGACTAAGAAGTCATAAGATAGGCATCTCCTCAGGTTGGGCAAGAATGGGTGGTCTGGAGGTACAAAATAAGTTAGAGGACTTTCCATATCATATTAGGACATCCCACCCACACTGGGTTTGGTCACCCACTCATCACGCAAAAGGGTGGAAGTCGTCTAGTCAACATTCCTGTGGTTAGGCAAATGAACTTTATAACAGATTAGTGAACAGTGAACTTCTAGGTTAACAAGCTAGTGAATTTATAATTTGTAGTTTAAAGTCTGGGGCTTATTAGAAGAAAGAATTTATCTTATCTAATTATCCCTAAGTATAATATTATAATAGATATTAATATATGCAATTCCTTTACTAATATTAGTTGACTATACTGACTAAATGTATATTAATAGATAAACATATCACTATAATCACTACCCCTATGGAATCACACTAAACTGATTAATACTGATTAGAGTAAAATACGGGTACAATAAATCATTCCTCTCATTGTTTGGTCATTTTTCAGTCATGTCTGACTCTTCATGACCCCATCTGGGATTTTCTTGGCAAAGATATTGGAGTGGTTTGTCATTTCCTTCTCCAACTCATTTTGCAGATAAGGAAACTGAGGTAAACAGGATTAAGTGACTTGCCTAGGATCACACAGCTAGTAAGTATCTGAGGTCAGATCTGAACTCAGGGAGATGAGTCTTCCTGACTCCATGCCCCACATTCTATCTATTGTGGCACTTAAGGGACCTATTTTGGAGATGCTTTGAACCAAATGTTTTTTACCATACCATCTTAGTAAGTACCCTTAAAAAACTACTTAAGATTGGCTGATTAAAATGATTCTCATTGTCTTGGGAGAGGAGCGACATCATACCAGCAAGGACTCAAGCCAATAGCATTAGAGAATGTCACTCTTTTGCCCCTTAGGGGACCCCTTACAACCCTGAACGAGAAATATAGCCAAACTTTGGGGACTTGAGACTCGTCTATGAGAGTGGGAATTGAGATAAGGATCCTCATAGACTACATAGACTTCAGAAAAATAATTCTAATTTGAGGGGTAGGTTTTTTAGGGGAGTAGAGGGAAGGGAAGATCATGGAAGACCTTATTTTAAAAGAATTATTTGGGTGAAGTCAAGATGGCAGAATAAATGAAGTATTCATCTGAGCTCCCCCAACATTCCCCTCCAGTCAACTTTAAAAAAGCACCTCAAATCAAATTCTGGACTATCAGAGCCAACAAAAGGTCAGAGTGAGACATTCTTCCAGCCCAAGACAACACAGAAGGTCTGTGACACAGGGGAGGAGAATGACCTAGAACCCCCATGAATGAAATACCAATGGTGGGATTAAGTGGTGGTGACATAAGCAGCAGCAGCTTTGGGAGCTCTCAAGCCAGAGATAATAAGGGGACCGGGCAACTGGTCAAAAAGAGAATAGAGGGGTCATCTGTCCTAGCTCTGGATACAGAATCAGATACTGTTTGGCAAATCCATTGCCTATGCTTCTGGATCATAGTTCAAGGGCAAAGAGGAACACTTTCAGTCAAGAGGCAGTGGAAGCCCTGAAGGACAGTATCACTTCTGGCCCCAACAGATCAGTGACCCTGAGGAACAGTATTGTCTCTGGTCCCAAGGATCCTGAGGAGCAGAATAGATTGCAGTCCCCAGGGATCAGGGGCCCTTCCTGGGTAAGAACCAGAGTGCAGATCAGGTGAGCAGTGACCACACTTCTCCCAGGATCACATCACCTTGGAAGCATCAAATGTGTCCAGATCCCCAGAACTAGCTCTTAAAACAGCAGAGCAAAAGGAATCAATTAAAAAAAATGTGAAGGAAAGTAGCATAACAGTTCCAGATTTCAAACTATATTACAAAGAGGTAATCATCAAAACAATATGGTACTGGCTAAGAAATGGAGTAATGGATCAGTAGAACAGATTAGGTACACAATACACAGTAGTAAATGATGGGAGTGATCTAGTGTTTAAAAAACCCAGAGATCCAAATTCTTGGGGTAAGAACTCAACATCTGACAGAACTTGCCGGGAAAATTGGAAAGCAGTTTGGCAGAAACTAGGCATAGGCCAACACCTCACACCATATACCAAGACAAGGTCAAAATGGATAAATGATTTAGGCATAAAAGGGGATATCATAAGTAACTTAGGGGAGCAAAGAAAAATATACTTGTCAGATCCGTGAATAAAGAGTTTAAGATCA